GGCGCCAGTGAAAGAAAGCATTGGAACAGTTGTTTGTGACGACACGACTTTGTGACGGTGAGCCTTGGACAACGAATGGGGGATAGGCACTGTGGCTGTCCGCCACAGTCCTTAGCTATCTTTAGCCCCAGGAGTCTGTCTTACGGGAGCGGTGTTAATGGAGGTTTAATGGTGGGGTCATAGCACAGGAAGGAGCATCTAAACGCAGAAGATAATAGGAAATAATTATTTAAATAATCAAAAAAATTGTGCGTGATAAATGAAATGACAAATACAACCAATAGGGGACAAGAACTTTACAAAAGGCTACACTCTAGGCAAATAGGCCACACACCAATATCGACTCTATATCGAAATTTAGTCCTTGAAATAAAACCATGAAAGCTAGGCTTCCCCCGCCTTTTTAGATTTTGAATAGTTTCTAATGCGTTTTGGTAAATATTGTAGTACGATAAGCCGAAAAACAGCCGCATTTCCGTTAAAAAATTAAATTGAATTAAAAATCAATTAGGATGCTAAAGATTTCCGTGTTGGCAGGTGCAATAATAATCATAACTACGTCTGTTAAATTACATATAGTAGGTATATAAGTATACATATTTAAAGACTACAGGGAACATCATAGTTACCCAGGAACTTTCCAACTTCGGACGTCCTTTTTGATAATTTCGCATTTTTGCTTTCGAACTGCCTTGCAGCCTTCGCAGACCCTCAGTAACCTGTGGGACACAACTCTCACTCAACTGGTATACAGTCCACGACCCAACGTCAATGTTGTGGCTCCTCACATGCTCCGCCTCCTTTTACATGCTCCGCCTCACTCTATAATTTCTGCAGATTCGGGTTTGAACCCCGCACGTCTGTTGACTTTGCCAACTCCTCTGCGCACATTTTGGACCATGCACTACCTCCTTGACCGTCTACAGAACCAAACGGAGGTTGCTGAGTCTCGTTCAACCACCCTAGCTGGGGGCAAGTACAGCGATGGCCTCCTCGTAGTTTCTGTCTCGGGCCCCTTCTATGCACTCTTGGGCGCCTTCCGGAGTCTTCTGGAAGTGGACAGCATCGAAGGACAGGCAGCAGCGTCCGCGCCTGTCAAACTTCCTTTGTGCTGTACCGAAATGAAAATGCCAGTCGAGTAGGCATACTTCATACATATACATACGCCTACTCGCTTCTTTATTGATGCGCTCATCATCCATAAATGTTTGCGTCAAAACACTGTCCTCACAGCATCACATACAATACGGATAAGAAGTCCTGCAAAATTCCGAAGTTTACGAAAGATTGGTAATTACTCACAAACCAGCATTAACGCATGTACAAAATAATAATGAACAGTCTTAGGCAAATTCGTTACCTAAGATTATAAAAATTACTAATTGTTTGAGGGGAGATGTGGTTGCACGCCTAGCGCAGGCACACGCCACGCCAGCCACTTGCCTGCGATCCCGACTGCGGTCGTCTTGACTCTGTCTTGACACTGGGTCCAAGCGGAAGATACAGAGAGGAGAAACTCTGGTAGTTGATGCGCAAGTGTTACATTACTCTAGACTTATCTACGCGCAATTCATAATCCCTGCATCCATTCTGCTATAGTGCACACAATGGACATAGTCAGTGTCGGCGGTGTAATTGCTAATGGTGAAAATTTTCGGTGTTGATAACGAAATTCCGAGGGTGGCACCGTTGTCAAGTAAGGCTTTGAGGAAGTAAGGAATGATCCACGTCGGTGTCTCCAGAGCGCCGCGTTGGTGCCAGAACTAATCTTGTTTCTGTCACCGATAACATAACCACCGCTCTAAAGTAAAGTGTTATCCCCTCGGAAAGATCTAAGCTACCAAAGATTCCGCTGGTGGTGTCAGGACTGAACACGGTCTAGGGGGTATCAAAAAAACTAACCAGGTTGACCTTTTATCGGCCATACACATG